AGGTCATTTGGCGAAGCCGGGTTATTATATCACCTGTCGCTATGTACTTTGTGGTGCTGATGGAAATTTTACACTTGGCAAAGAAAATCGAGGCATTACACCCTATATATGGGAGCTTCGGTGTGGCCTTCTAGAGGAGAATCATTTCAGTATTAGTAATACAGCTGGTGATTCAGGAAAGACGGCTGTGGTAAATGCTGAAGGAATGAAGGCGTTAAAAATTGTTTACGTTGACATTGAACGTGCTCCTTTTTCAAAGCGTGGGCGTGTATATTCTGAATATGCAGCATTTGTTGCTACGGGTAGTTAATCACTCTCAATAATAGCCTCAGCTATTTTTTTCCCTAGAATAGGCGATACTGCATTGCCAATTTGCTTAACAACTTGTGCTCTCGATCCAACAAAATTAAAAGTGTCGAAAAAGCCTTGGATGCGTGCGCCTTCACGTGGAGTTAGTGCGCGATCTTGATGAGGATGAATGCATCTATTCGATGCGGGATGAACAAAATTGACGGTAAGTGTTACGCTAGGCTCATCTCCAGCTAAACGGCTATAACAGGAGCTAAATCCACTTGTAACCATGCCGGGGGGTAACGCATAAATGTTGGCCCCGGAATGACGTATTATCTCCAACATTTTTTGGGAATGCGATGTCGCTTCGTGAAGGGACAAACTAGCTGCGTTATTGCGTATAAATCGTTCATACTCGGTAGGATGAACATTGTCGCGGTATAGATTACTTGCCTCTCCCGATTGCAATTCAGGCAGGTCATGCAAGGCTTCATCTAGTGTTACCGCACGCGGTAAGCACGCCCCAGCGCGTTTTTCCGGTTTGATGATTAAATTAGAATCCCCAACCATGCTTCGGGCATCTATTTGGTGCGTGGGGGTGGGCCATTTGAACCGCTTATTTCGAAGGCTTCCTACTATAATCAGGCGCTCTCGTCGTTGAGGGACACCATAGTAAGCAGAATTGAGTACTCGGGCATCAGTTCTGTAGCCAATTTCTTCAAAGGCCTCTTGAATGGCGCGGGCGCTCTTTCCTTTTTCATGCGTAAGTAAGCCGACAACATTTTCAAAAACTACCCACTCAGGGCGGAGATCGTTGACAATGCGGCAAAATTCTTCTGCAAGATTATTGCGCGGATCGGCCCAATCAACATTTCTGAAAGGCCGAATAGATGAAAATCCTTGGCATGGAGGCCCGCCCACAATTACGTAAGGCCGTGGGTTTTCATCGTCTAAGACATCGGTCGCTATTGACCTGATATCTTGGCCATACGCATTCGCTGCCGCATGGTTTGATGCGAATGTACCCAATCGATCGCCTAATAAATCTATACCGCCGGTGAC